AATTTGGAATGTTCAATTTGAAATGTCCGACAGGCAGTTAGTGTTGTGGGATAGAAGATCAGTGGAAAGATTGGGGCTGATATGAATGATGAGCCAGCAAAGGAGACTGAGGAGTGGTTAAGCAGGTAGAAGGAGAACCAGGAGGAGAAAGTATGTGGGAGGAGAGGGTGATCAATACTGTTAAATATAGCAGATATACTGAGAACTAAAAAATACCATCAGATTTGGCAATTAAAAGATTGTTGTTATCTTTGTAGAGAGCAGCTTCAGTTAATTTATATGGCCAAAATTCAGATTCAAAGGGTTAAGAAGTAAATGAAATGAGTAGAGGCATTGAGAATGGATAGCTTCACACATATACGTGTGTTTGGCTGGGGGGAAAAAAAGAGATATAGGACTGTAACTGAAAAGACAATAGGATTTAGTGAAAAAAAAAAATTAAGATAGGGAGAGCAGGATTATGTTTGAAGATAGTAGAGAAGGAACCAGTAGATAGGGAGAGAGATAGGGAAGATTATAGACATAGAGGTTGGTGAGCCCAGATCAGAATGCCTGTAGGCTTCTGGCTGTCATCCTGTGCAGTCTTTGATTGAACGAAAAAAAAAACTTATTGGTGTTTTCCTTTGGTTTTATTGATCATAACTTCATCTGGCACACTTTTTCATCTGTAGCCAGGGAATATCTTAGAAGATCTAAGCTGGCTATAATCTTTCCCTCCTGGTTTCTGGAAGTCTCCATCAATCAGTTTCTATTATGTAAGAGTTCAGGAGGTATTGATCTGATTATCTGATTGAAAGTGTGAATGAGATTTTCTTCCTCACATTTTAAAACTCAAAGTTTATTAATCCAAATGAGTCTCTAATGAATAGATTGTACGGGTCAGATATTTTTGATCAGTGGGGTCTATAGGTTTTCTTTGTTTCCTTTAAATAATCCTCCCTATGCCCTTCCTCCTTCATTCCTGCCTTACATAGCCTTCTTGGGTGTCAAAAACACAGAATCAAGAGACATATGAATGACATCTACCTTGCCTTCTATGTGTTCTTCTCTTTTGAAAATATTCCTTCATGTTTCATCTTACCCATTTGAATGGGGCAGGGTTACCCCCAATCCTGGGATCCTTTTTGGGGGGAGAGGGAAGAATTGGGTATTTTCATACTTCTCACTCTCCAGCCCCTTTGCATCTCTCAAGGCTTAATAACGATCTAGCAGTTTAAAATCTGATTCTCATCAGCCCTTTATAGTGTATTTTCTCTGTTGATAAAGCCATTTGGCTGATGGAGACAGATGACTGCCTAGCATAGAGCCTTTCTGGTTAACCCACTCTGGTTCTGAGGTATGTGGGTACCCTGCTTGCCCTCTCTCCATCCAAATAAAACCCTAAACTTGCATATCAGCTCCCCATTGGATGAGGTTTAGTCATCTCGAAGGAATTAGCAGCTTCTAGCTGTGGATACTTAAATCCTTTAATTGAGGAGGGAATAATGGAAAAGGGCCAAGATGCTTTCTTCCCCTCTGTTCCTTAACCAGATGCCCTGGTCCTTCCTTTGGCCAGGCACCCTAGCAGATTTCCCCAATTCCAGAACACTTGGATAAGATAACTACAAGGCAAAGGGACTGGGCGTCTGAACTTCTTGTCTTTTCTTCCAATACTCGAAGCTCTTAATTCCTCTTCCCCTGGACAAAAAGAACAATGAAAACAAAACATGAGAAGTAACTGAGCACAGATGGATGGACAGCCACACTGTTAAATTCTGTGTTATGTTTTGGTTTGCCTCTGGTGTCCCTTCCCATTATCTATTGCTATTTTTGTGCATTTTCCTTCTATTTTCTTCTTTTACCAGTTTTGCAAAGCACCACCCTCTCCATTCATTAAGAGTAGGGTAGAGTGGGCCGAGGTAGATTGGCATTGGTGGGGCCTTTGGTCTCTTTGTATGATTGGATTTATAAAGTGACTTGAAAAACAAACAAAAATTCCTTCACTCTACAGTGCTTAGTAATAATAGTACCTTTATTTGTATGGTACTTCATAATTTACCAAGTACTCTCATATTTTATTAGCTTACGTCTTATAGTCTTTCTGTGAGATGGCTAGATCTTGTCTCCCATTTTACAGATGAAGAAATTGAGATTGGGAGAAGTGAAGGTGAAATTATTTGTTCAAAGAACACCAAATCAGAAACTGTACTTCCAAATGTGCAGCATTCTTTGTACTACATCACAGTTAACAAGAAGGAGCTATTCCATAGGGAGAAAGCTTAAGTTGGTTGGCATACAGATAAATCCATGAATTTCGTCTTTGGCCATATGGGGACAGATATAATCACCATCCATTCCCACCACTGTAAAAAATAATTTAAAGTACAAGATTGCTGTTAGCTGCTCAGTAGCACTGTTTTCCTCAAAAGAGGAAAATAAAGTGTGATCATTCAGGAGCCTACCCAAGAGTCCTTCCTAAAAGACCTGATTAGAGTCCTGAGCAAAGAGCTTTATCATAGAGTCAGCATGCCTTTGTTTCTTCCTCTGTACTCTTTGCCTACCTCATCATTTAAGGAATGGAATTTTTGAGGTACATTATTCTAAAAAAAGAACAGAGGATCTAGGGTCACTAAAGTCCCCTATTTCATTTTGAAAAAGAAAAGAGGAAGGAGGTTGGAGGAAAAGGAAGAGAAAGATCCAGATCCAAAAGATACTAAACAATAAAGGACTCTAAAATACATTTACTTTAATTATGTACTCTGGTAATTTGCTGTAGTTTCCTATTCTATTATTAGATTACAACAGTAACTCATCTAATGAATTTCCTTTATGAAAACATTCGTTTTATTTTATTGGGCTTTTGTGCTATGGTCCATAATAAAAACAACAAAGGCTACTCTTGTGTGAGGCAAGACCCGTGGCTCCAGTGGCAAAAAGGATTTAAAGAAAGAAGGGGCAAACAAGGGATGAACTTTAAACTCAAATTATCTAAGGGTGTGGGGGGGAAGGGGGGGATGCTGTTAATCCAGCCAAGCCTGAGTAGACAGATTTGGGGAAAACAGTTCCTGAACAGGTAGGGTTGTAGGAGAGGAAAAATAGGGATTTAGGAGTTGAAGGGGAGAGTTAGGTCAAGTAGAGGAAACAGAAATGCCCGAATATGGCAGTGACTACTTGTTTGGCAGAGTCGTGATTATGATGGGGCCACTGTCACCCCCCCCCCCCATTCAATAAACTCCAGTGGCTCCCTGTCCCTCCACGATCAAATATAAAATTCTCTGTTTGACATTGAAAGACCCTTACAAACTGGCCCATTCCTATCTTTCCAGTCTTCTTATACCTGTTGCTCTCCCCCCACCCCAAATCTGTGATCCATTGCAATTGGTCACCACTGGCATTGCTCTCATGTCCATATGCTGGTGGGTCCTGGTTATAGCAGATGGCCTATCCTTAGACCAATCAGATGGGCATGCTCTAGCTGAGGCACAGATAGACTTTCCAGAGGCTTGGGCTATATTTGGCTCCTTTATCTTAAAGAAATGACAAATTCCTTTCCTAAACTCCAGGGAGCAAGTCTTCATAGCTTTTGCCAGGGAGGTGGGGGTGGAATGAGGAAGGGAATGCTAACTCTGCATGACAAACAGACTCAGAGATCTTTCTTTGGATTTTTGTTCTCCTTGGAAAAATTCTCCTGTGTTTGGCCAGCATGTGCTTGTCAGTTTAATGAATGGAACTGGGCATAAAGGCATAATGCGCCCTTCCTTCATATCTTAACTTTTGTCTTTTTTCATGACCATAAGAATCTAGAAGAAAGGGAGGGAAGAAGTACCTATTGGGAGCATTTCTTTTGGGTGAAGGTTCTTAGCTCTTCCTCCCTGGATTTTCTTCCAGAGTCCTTTAAAGGTTAAGCACTTCAAGTGTTACTTTAAAAAGGTGATTGTCTTCAACAGGAGAAGAATAATTAATGGATTTCACCTTTCAGGTGTCAAGATATTAGGAGACACCTTGCTTTCCAGAGCTAATGCCCAGCAAGCAAACTGTGCCTTGAGCTTGGCAAAACTATTCCTTTGACCACCACCAGGTGTTTTCTGAGCTAGGACAAGTGCTGGACAAACTCAGACAAGCAGCAATGTTAGGGTCATGAAGACCTGCTGTGAATCAAACTTGTCACATTGTTGCTGCTACCCCTCATTGTCAGGGCTACAGCTCACTGCACAACCATTCCTAGAAGTATTGAAGTCTCTCCACACTGCTTCAGGTTCCTCCACCAGGGGTGGGGCTCCGGCACATGTATCCTTGCTTGAAAGCCATTTCCCTCACTTCGAAACTAAACTTCTGTTTCATTCCTGACTCTCCTTTCTCCAGCCTGCTCTGTTTGACTTCCGGTCATCCACAGGTTAGAGGGTGGTTCAGTCTGAGTGACGCAGGTCTCCCTACTGGATCTCTGTGTTACCTGTTTCTATCTGTAGGAGATATGCCTCAATTGATACTGAATAATGTATAGTATAGCTACTACCCTCTGACAGACTGTTGGGAGAAAGGAGCTATTTTTTGGTTGTTCTTATTAATGCTAGGAATAAAGGAGATCACTTTATTATACATTTTAGAATTAACTTTCTTTTTTTACATAAGCATTTCTTTTTCTCCCTCTCTCCCTCATTGATTAAAAAAAGAAAAAAGAAAACTAAAGCCCTTGTAACAAAATTTCATAGTCAAGCAAAACAAATTTCTACATTGGCCATGTCCAAAAAAGTATGTGTCATTCTACATTGAGTCTCTGTCTGGAGATGGGTATCATGTTTTATCATTAGTCCTCTGGAATCATGATTGGTAATTATACTGATCAGAGGTCCCAATGCTTTCAAAGTTGATTGTCTTTACCATATTGCTGTCACTCTGTAAATTGTTCTGATTCCTTATTCTGCATCAGTTAATTAAGTCTTCTGAAATCATCTCCTGCATAAGTGTAGCCATAATATTTATGTACCATACATAACTTCTTGTCTTTCCATTCTTCTCTTAAGATCCTCAAGACATAATAGAACTGCACTCAAGCCTTCTGTTGAGACTCCCTATATAATCCCTGATGATGATAGGGTTCAGAGGTAACGTATATCATCTCCCCATATTAGAATGTAAGCACTTTATCCTTGTTTAGTCCCTTGTAATTGTTTGTTTTAATTTATCTTTTTATGTTTCTCTTAATACCTATGTTTGATTTTCAAAGTTTCTATTCAGCTCTGGTCTTTTCATTAGGAATGCTTGAAAGTCCTGTGTTTTGTTAAAGATCCATATTTCCCCCTTTTAGGATTATAGTCACTTTTGCTTGCTTTTTTTGACTGCGAGTTATTTTTGACTGCAAGTTATATCCTTCACCTTCTGTAATATGCAAACTCCTTGATAGTTATGGCTGCTAAATGATACTGACTGTGGCTCCTCCGTACTCGAATTCTTGCTTTCTGGCTGGCTCTCATTTCCATGACAAAAACATTTTTACTCACTTCCCCTGTTCCAGGAATTCTAGTTGAATTTTTGCCTGTGATTTTTTTTTTGAGAGCTTATTTGTAAATATATTGGAATTATTCTTTCTTTCCTTTCCTTTCCCTTTCTTTTCCTTTCTCTTCTTCCTTCCTTCCTTCCTTCCGTCCTTCCTTCCTTCCTTCCCTCCCTCCTTCCTTCCTTCCCTCCTTCCTTCCTTCCCTCCTTCCTTCCTTCCCTCCTTCCTTCCTTCCCTCCTTCCTTCCTTCCTTCCTTCCTCCTTCCTTCCCTCCTTCCTTCCCTCCTTCCTTCCCTCCTTCCTTCCCTCCTTCCTTCCTTCCTTTCTTTTTTTTCTTTCTTTCTTTCTTTCTTTCTTTCTTTCTTTCTTTCTTTCTTTCTTTCTTTCTTTCTTTCTTTCTTTCTTTCTTTCTTTCTTTCTTTCTTTCTTTCTTTCTTTTTCTTTCTTTCCACAGATTATAAATGTATTTATTGCCTGAGAAGAAAAAGCTTGCAAACTGGAAGTGTCAGTGTTACGACATGTTCAAGGCCCCAGTTGGAAAGAGTGAGGTATTTATACTTTCCAAACAAAGAGAGGCTGGGAATTTGAGAAAAAGACAGGAAATCCTAGAAAGGAGGAATTCCAAGTATCAGAGCTGTGGACCTTTGATACACAAATCAGCCTATGGAATCATTCTTTTCTACTGGCTTTGTGTCTTGAGCATCCCAGTCACCACAATAGCTTTTTGTGGTAGAATTCTTTTTTGCTTGCTTATTTATCCAGCCTACTTTATGACTTTGGACTTAATGTTAGGATCATGCTCTGTGCCAGAGGGAAAGCCTAGGCTGGTCTGACTGTTGTTTTCTTGGAGACATTAAGTGTTGTATTGTTCCAGAATCTCAGGAACAGCTCAGACTCCAGACTTGCAAGTTTTCAGTGTTTTTGAAATGATCTGATGCAGGTCAAAATCTAGTTTTTCCCCTCCACCCCGACATGGTCTGAGTTCCCCAGACCTAGGTTTAAGTCTGAGCAACAGAAGATAGCTGCTGGCTCAGCCACTATCATTCAGTTGGTATACTCTGCTGGATCAGAATGACAGAATTGCAGGTTCTTCTTCGGTCTGGAATTCTTGTCCTGGTTATTCCTCTGCAGGCTTCACAGCTACGCTGTTGCTACTGCTGCTACTTGCTTTTGAACCTACTCTTGGTACACCACCTCCCTATCTGGGAACTGAGAGAAATTAATATAATACTATTATATTAATAGCTAATTATTAATTTATGATTCATCCTTTTCTTTCCTATTTTTGTCAAGATCTTATTCCTGAAAAAGCCAGTCTCTGAAAGGCATGACCTGATCAAGTAATGTGATCACTCCCAGCCCTCAAGGCAACTTGTTAACTAGTTCGGGCTGGGCCTCACCCAAATGGGGCCCTAGCTGGTTTACCCTACAAAAAGAAGCCAAACGCTGTGGTCAACTACCCTGAGAGACTTGTGTGTCCTCAGGAGGTGGCCTGGCTCAAGAAGGAGAAATAAAACCAGACAAATCCTGATTGGAGTGCTCATATCGGTAGAGGAAGCTGGAGCCTTATGACCAGACCACTCAGCTGACTTCTCTCCTTCAATGATGAAGTAATAAGGAGTGGCTAAGGACTCTTATGTCGTCTTCTCATCAAGTGTTCACCAGTTACGGTTGCCTTTTTCTTGTCAGGGAAGATCCCAATAATGTGCTGTTAGGAAAACAGGGTGGGTAATTAAGATGACTTGAGACCCTGCCTTTTTGTCTTTGGTTACAGAGAAAGACCACTGACCATCAGTTTGTTGATTAATGGCTGGCCTAAATAATAAATAGATTTTTAATGCCCGAACATTTTGTCTCTCAGAATTTTATTCACAGAAGAATACTACCTCTATCACAGGTCTCCTTGTAGGTACTTCCTGGATTTGTGACCTGAAAGCAGGTAGTGGGTAACAAAGCTGCAGTTGTTACCTGTCCCCATTGAGGTGCCCAGTATGTGTCTAGGACCTCAGCTTGGCCTGGTGCACAGTTTCTCTGTGGGTATGTGTGCTTCCTATTGTGTGATCCTGGCCAGATCCTATCTCCAGTATCCATAGACCTCCTCATCTGTCTCCCTTTGCCATCCTTGCCTGGAAAAATGACTCACTGAAACTTTGTCTTGAATTTTCCTATTAGAATTCTGCTTTGTTCTACCCTAGTATTTTGGCCTCACCTCTGCCCATATGCCTTTATTCTTTATCCTGTCCATCTAATCCATCCTCTCTCTGTCAGGAGTTTGGTAGCATATATCATCATTAGACTTTAAGAATTATGGTTATCTACCACACTTATCAGCATTCTAAAGTTTTTCAAAGTTGCTTGTCTTTATATTATTGTTTAGATTATTCTCCTGGTTCTGTATGCTTCACTCTGCATCATATACCTTACCCTTCAAATTTGTTGATAATATTGATGAGGTCTAGAGGTGAGGGGTGCTGGAATCCCAAAATCATGACATGCGGGTCCTGTCCAAAAGAATTCCACCCAAGCCTTCTTTCAGACAAAAACAATGTTTATTAAAGATCCGCCATATTAGCCAGAGTCTTAAGGAATCTGAGCATCTGTGAGGTATTGGCTGGATTGTAAAAATCTGAGCAGTGGCTAGATTATAAGAATCAGAACATCTTAATGGAGACAAGATGGACCTTATATACAAAAAGACTATAGGAGGGATCTAGGAGAGGCCAAGTAGTCTATGAGGTAATAGAACTGCAGGGGAGGCCAAGGGAGAATGGAGCCTAGATAGGATTAAGGGTGGGAAGTGGCCTGGGTCATAGGGAGGTCTAGGCTAGGATAAGGGTAACAGAGAATTGGGAGATTGGGTGTAGCCACAAAGAAAGGCCAGTTGATGGGATTATAGCCTCAGAGATTTGGCCACTTGGGAAAGTCCAGGTTTTTTCCTTTTTGGGGTCTAGATCCCATCCTCATCAATAAGACTTTTTACATTTAGGTCACATATCCGATTTGGAGCTTATCTTGGCATATAATATAAAGCTTTGGTCTGTACTTAATTTTTTTTTCCAAACTGTCTTCCAGTTTTCCCAGAAGGTTTTGTTGAATAGTGAGTGCTTATCCCAACAGCTAGGGTCTTTGGATTTGTCAAACACTAGGCTAAGTTTTCTTGCTTCTGTATATTGTATAACTAACCTGTCCTAGAATGTAAGTTCCTTGAGGTCAAGGACTATTGCATTTGCTTGTATTTGCATCCCTAGATCTGAGCAGAGTGCCTGAAACATAGTGAGAATTAAAAATTTTAAAAAATATTTTATCCCCCCCCAATTACATGTTAAAACAAATTTTAAACTTTTTTTTAAAGTTCTGAGCTCCAAATTCTATCCTTCCCTTCCTCATCCCTCCCCTTTCCCTTAGATGGTAAACAATCTGATATAGTTTATACATGTACAATCAAGTAATACATTTCCATATTAGTCATTTTGTACAAGAAAACTCAAAAAAGAAAAAAAGAAAGAAAGAAGGAAAAGAAGAAAGAAAAAGAAAGGAAGGAAGGAAGGAGGAGAAAAATGGCATGCTTCAGCCTGCATTTGGACAATATCAGTTCTTTTTCTGGAGGGAGGTGGCCTACTTCATCATGAGACCTTTGGGATTGTCTTGGATTATTCTATTGCTGAGAAAAGCTAAGTCATTCACAGTTGATCATCATACAGTATTGCTATTACTGTGTATAATGTTCTCCTGGTTCTGTTCATTTCACTTTGCATCAGTTCATGTAAGCCTTTCCAGGTTTTTCTGAAATCATCCTGCTTGTCATTTCTTTTCTTTTCTTTTTTTCCTTTTTTTTTTTTTTTTGCTTTTTGGTGAGGCAATTGGGGTTAAGTGCTGCTTGCCATTTCTTACAGCACAATAATATTCCATCACAATCATAGTGAGAATCTAAAAATGCTTTTCATTCACTCACACAATCATTCATTAATAACATACATTTTCTAGTTAAAATGGCATTTTCAGTCATCTCAGTAATTATGTCAACCTTGGCATGATTCAATCAGATTACTAACATTGCTGAAATAATTGGATTGAATATGCTATATGCTCCAGTTATCTGCATTTTATCATAATATATACATTAATAATAAGTTATATTTAGTTTAAAGTTTGCAAAGTGTTTTGCATATGTCATCTCATTTGAATCGAATAAGAAGTCATTTGGTTTAAGCCAATCATTTTACAAATGAAGAGAATAAGCCTCAGAGAAGTTCAGGAACTTATCTAAGTTTCTTGGGTGTGGAAAGAATGAATTATTCACCAGAAACCAGAGATTTCTATTCAGATTCTCTGTGGACTAGTTGACCTTTGAGGCCCCTTCTAAATCTGAGTCTATAATTCTGTGACCACAGCTCACCATCTAAAGGACTAAGAATATATTTTTTGGAGTCAGAGATCTTAGGTTTTAATTCCAGCTCTGCTTGCTACCCATATGACCTTGGAAAAGTAATTTCAACTCTCTGGGCTTCACTTTTCATCATTTGTAATGCACTGCCTTTGAAGTAGATGATTTTTAATGTCTTTTCACTTCCCAACTTAATTCAAGTCAATAAGCATTCATCAAGTGCCTACTATGTGTCAAGCACAGTACAGATCCCTGGGGATTCAGAGAAAAGCAAAAGTTGCTCTCAAGTTGCTCACAGATTAATCAGGGAGTGAGAGAAATTATTAAATAACCCATTATTGGAGAGATCCAGGGTTTTTTCCTTTCCTATCTCCTCATTCTGTACTGGGTCAGGTCAGCATTTGAAGGACATTGCTGATAATGAGATTGGATTAACTTTCTCCTCAGTCTTGTTCAGACCTCACCCAAGTGGGAAAGTCCATTGTGTTCTACTCAGACTTGGGGGTGGTCTGGGAGTGAGAGTGATGAGATCCTCCAGCCCCTTATTCGACTAGGTCCACCTTTTATTATAACATTCATTATTCTCATTGTTAACCAACCAGAGTTGATTGTCACCCTCAGGAACACCTATTCTTCCAAGGGCATATAAGCATTGAGTGGGTTGCATGAGGAGTCTTTGGCATTTGAGAATGCCACTGACCCCTTTTATTAATTACCTGCTAGTATAATTAATAAAATGATTAATTACCCAGAAATTATATCTCTCAAACATTTTATACATCACAGAGACATGTAAACAATTATGTGTAAGCAAGATACATACAAGATAAATTGGAATTAATATCAGAGGGAGGGCACTAGCAAGAAAGGGGACTGAGGAAAGCATTTTGCAGAAGGTGATGGGATTTTAGCTGAAGCTTAAGGAGGCCAGGGAAACCAGGAGAGAGAGATGAGGAGGGAGGAGGCCATTTCAGACATGGAGAACATTCAGTGCAAAAGTACAGACTTGGATATGTACATTCGTCTTGTGGGAGCACTATCAAGGAGGTCAGTGTTGGATTATAGAGTACATAGAGGGGAGGAAGGTGTAAGATCTTGTTTGTCAGTCTTATGCTACATAAAGACAAGTTCCCCCTGGAAACAATATTCACAGAACTTCCTTGGAAGCATGTATCCATGAGTATCTATTTCTTCAATGGTGGAGTATTGCAAAAAATTTGTTATGATAAAAGTTATCATGTTAAAGGGGAATAAATGTATTGGATCGTAGGAGCAAGAGGATTGGTAAATCAGGCACTACATAAGACCCTGGTTTTCAGCTTGTCAGATGCTCCTGGTTCTAGGAGATACATAGGCCTAAGGACCTCTTCCTGTTATGCTCTTTCATCACCTTGAGGGAAGCATAAAATAGAATCTATAATTAATTTCTAAGGCGAAGGAATTCCCACAGTGAAGGACTTTACATCTTTGAACCTCAGTTTCCTTATTTGTAAAACAAGAGTTGGATTAGAGACCGCAAGTTCCAACAGCTCTAGATCTATAAGCCTTTTATCTTCTGACTGCTAAACAGGGCCTTTCCCAGAGTATAAGGACTTAGACAACTAACTGTCCAGCAGGAAGGCCCAGAAGGAGACAAGGTTTAGGAGGATGGGGTAATAATGGGGGAGAACAGTCATAGTATCTAGCTCATCAAGTGAACTACTCCCCAAACCCCCAACCTGGGGAAGGGGAGAGGAGTAGCAAAAAGGCTCTTTACTCTAGCAACCATATGCCAGAACGGCTCAGAACTAAGATCCAGCCACAATGAGTTTATCCATCCTATGTCAGAATTTTTGTTTCTAGGATGGCTCATTAGCATCCCTGCATTATCAATAGATACGTGCTTCATTTGAAGAAAGAAGAAACCCCTTGTGGTATGTGGGGATAGCTGGGCCAGGAGACATCTAAGTGCATCAAAGCACTATGATAAAGAAAAGCGAAGCCCTGTGTGGGATTCCAGAGCACCGGTATGCTAGAGTCAATTGTTATATTTTCAGTGTGAAATTTTACACCTCAGAAATCAGCAAATGTGGGCTTGATTTATTGTTTTATTGATTGTCTAAACTTAAGAAAGTGATCTGCAGATTTAACTTAAGAGAGTGTCTTGCTTACATTCCTGGCTCCTACCCTTTCCTCCAGTACCCACTGTTAAACATTTACCAGCACATCCCTGTTCCAAAGGCAAGTAGGGGTAGGCTGGCCAATCTTTGTTGTTGAGTCATTTCAGTTGTGTCCCAACTCTTCATGATTCCATTTGGGGCTTTCTTGCCAAAGATACTGGAATGGTTTGCCATTTCTTTCTCTATCTCATTTTACAGATGAGGAAACTGAGGCAAACAGGGTTAAGCGACTTGCCCACAGTCACATAGCTAGTAAATGTCTGAGGCTGGATTTGAACTCATGAAGATGAGTCT